TTTTTTTTTTTTTTTAAAGAAGTTTATTTGCTTAGATAAAATACATTTTCTTGTTAATACATTATAGGCTGCATTACTTAACTTAAAAAAAAGCCTTAAAAATCTTAGATATAACTTATATCAATAGTTTAGACCGCAAGTCTCCTTGATTGGAGCGGCTGGGGTCTATCCGTTTTTCCTAAGTAAATAATTAGTGTTTATTTGTTCTCTAGTCACTTGAAAATAAATATTGTTGTTTATAAATATTCTGATTTCTTTTATAATAATACTCAAGTGGAAAGTCATCTTCCAAAACCACTTATATAACTCATTTCATGCTTTTGCCCTTACAAACTAAATAAATAATATACAAACTAAAACTAAATTATGTACAAATATTTACAGTTCTTAATCTAAAAATTACACTGCACTATTCTGGGTGCAGCCTTCTTCTTAGCTCTTTACGATGCTTTGATTCATTGGTGAGCCACCAATATTTTTCGTTCAGCCTGTGATCGTCCATTTTATCTCTCGTCGGGAGAGCTTTTGAATAGGTAAAGTTAAACCATTTGAGTATTGGGTCATCTGCAGCATATTCAATCCTTTTATGTGCTTTGTGTCTTTTCCAATGGTATATGGTTGGCACATTATGTTCGTCTTGGATGAGTCCTGCGTCGTCAAGCGGTAACCCAGTTAAGCTACCGGGCCCCTTCCACTATCCACCTTTCTCAGTCCATTCTTATACTCTCGATACTTACTTTACTATCCCTTCCCTTTTACCCGAGCTACGTACTTATTTGACTTAGATGGCATGAAAAACACTCATTATATTTAAGTTTAATATCACAAATTAGTTCAAATTATCACAATACTTATTATATTTAGGTTTTTAATTATTTAAACAATGCTCGTGGAATAATTAATGTATATTAGGCCTGATTCAAAAAATCGACTAATTTTTTTTTCTTAAATTTAACGAAAATATTGTTGGAAATGATGAAAAAAAAATCCTTTGAAAGCCACAGCCCTTAATATTAATATTAAGAACTCTCGCATGACGAATTTCAATTTCCCGTAAGATTAACACGGGAAAGCTTGTTTTTTTGAGTTTAGAATTTTATAACTCTTTAATGGTTAATCAAAAAAACTAGGCTAAATCATTTTCTTGTATAAAATTGAACGCTCTGCAAAAAAGCTCCCCTATAATTTTTCGATAAACTGACGCGTTTCGAAGTTATACAACTTTAAAATATAATTTATAATATTTTCTCTCTTTTTTCCAATTTTTTGAGGAAACTATCAAGTTTATCAAAAAATTTTGTCAAATTTTCCTAATTTTTAATATTCTAAATTTTATTTGGTTTCACAGATGCTTTCATTTAACTGTCAAATTTCTAATACTATCCTATCTTAATTTTTAAATAAATTCAAATTATTAGTAGATTTTATAAAAATCTAACTATTGCAGCCATCCTCATGGCGCAACTTTTAAAAAATTTTGCCATTTTCTGACTCAGTTTGTCGAGCTGAGTCAGAAAAGATATATAGTTCAAAAGTTTACAGTCGACGCTCTCTGTATTGGACCCCTCTGTATTTGACCGCTCTCTGTACTTGACGCGATTCGCTCTCTGTACTTGACGATCCTGTCTCCCACTATGATTTGTTGTCCAATCAATCAAAAAAAAAATACAGTGGCGGGTATATTTAAATGCAACGGCGGGAATATTCAAACTTCAAAAGTTACAAAGTACTTTACAAATACATGATTATTTAGTAATAACTTACAAAAAATATTGAATATCATTTTCTTTATTTATTATCATTATTATTATTGCAATTCTTATTTTAATTTGAATAAAAAGTATTTAATATATTAAAAATACTGTAAGGTTTTCTCTTACATAACATAAAATCACATTCAAATCATTAAGTATTTTTAAAATTATAAAGAATAAATACAGTAATGTTAAATTCAAGACAAATTTCAAATAACAACATATATTTTCTAAATTTGTAATCTAGATTATTAATCCACATAGATAAATTATTTAAGAAAATAATTTTTTTCTAATTTTCAACTTACGATATGATTTTTTTTTCTTATTTGTGAATCACAAATCTGACTAACTCTTGACTAGCTTTTTGGCAGTCATTAAATACATCTTGACTATCTCATTTACGTTGATACCATTGTAAAAATGTATTTAATCCACTCATAGCCTCTATGAACGTAGGACATTACCATCTATAATGGAATCATCAAACGTACAATTTTGATCATTGTATGAGATTTCATCATCAAACTCTTCTTCTTCTTCTTGATTCTCAGCAATACACCGGTCATCCAGAATGTCATTGTCTGACAGAGGTTGCCATCCGTTATCATCACAATCAATCTGGAGCCAGTTCTCAACTTCAGCAGGAGTACAAATTTTGAATTCTTTAATTAGTTTCATAATAACCTAGAAGGCTTCATTTTTAGGCAAAGTAACTGGCGCTGTTTCGGCACTATTATCAGCAGCCAGTGAGATTAGATTTTTCCAACAATTTCTAATATCACTGCTTGTCACTTCATCCCATGCAAGGGCACATAAATTAAATGCATCTAAGAGATCAAATGACTGGAAAAAATCTTTATTTTCAACATTATTTTCTTCTTGAAAAAGAATTTTTTCCATTAAATCATTACGGTATCGCCTATTGAATTTTTCAATGATACCTTGGTCTAAAGGCTGGATCAGCGATGTAACATTCGGAGGTAAAAACATAACCGTACATGATTTACATAACTTATTGAGCTCTTCAGCAGGTGGGTGACAAGCCGCATTGTCCATAATTAAAACAATTTTCGTGTCAGGATTTTTATCTAATTCGTGTTAGTTTTTACTTCTGGCAGAAAAATTTCGGTGTACCATGTCGTCATAATTTCACGGGTCATCCATGAATTTTCTTGGTGGGTATAATGAACAGGTACATTCTTAACACCTCTTAAGCAGCGTGGTTGTGCTGATTTCCCGATAACAAGCAGAGGAATTTTGTGCGTGCCAGAAGCATTTGTACATGCCATCACAGTCAGTCGATTCTTTGGTTTCTTATATCCTTCAGCTTTCTTTTCTTTCCTTTGAACTAATGTACTATTTGGCATAATTTTCCAATAAAGTCCAGTTTCATCACAATTATAAATACAGTCAAGACTTATACCTGTTATTGTCTTAAAATTGTTGAATTTTTCTATAAAATCCTCACTACCTCCTAAATCTGCCGATAATTTTTCACCATGAATATGTTTGTTTTTTAATCCGTACCTCTTCTTAAACCTGGCAAGCCACCCGTCACTTGCTGTGAAATTCTCGCTACCATTCAAACGTTTATTATATAATAAAGCTTGCTTTTTAAGAATAGTACCTGACACTGGTCGACCCATGCTTCTTTGCTGACTAAACCATTTCATCAATTTTTGATCCAATATACTCTCTTCTTGCTTCTTATAACGTTTCTTATCAATATTGCCGTTACAGGATTTCAAAACTTCCTTTGTCTGAGTAATATTATTCTCATTTTTTTTAATCCACGATACTGCTTGTTTGGAAATTTTATAGTTCTCAGCTAATGATTGAGGACGTTCTCCAGCCTTCAACCTCTCTATAATATTTAAGCGCTGCTCTATGGACAAAATATTTCTTTTTTTCTGTAAATAAAAAATGTTTAGATTAGATATTAAGTAATAAAAATAATATATTTAATTTTTAACTTCCCGCTAAAAATCTCAGATTTTCAAAAATCGGGAAGTTATTGTTTTCACCCCGTTTTGCAAAAATCAAGTTTTCATCAGATCTCGACGTTTTAAGGTCATAGGAAGCTTCCCTGACTACCCCCACGGTGGTGTCTGTATGTCTGTATGTGTGTGTGTGTGTGTGTGTGTGTGTGTGTGTGTGTGTGTGTGTGTGTGTGTGTGTGTGTGTATGTGTGTGTGTGTGTGTGTAGTGTGTGTGTGTGTGTGTGTGTGTGTGTGTGTGTGTGTGTGTGTGT